CCAAAAGGGGATTTTTTTTTCCCCCCCCTTTTTAGCATTAACCCACTTGCCTCTCGGGATTTACCTCCTTCCCTGCCACACCATTTTGCTTTTCGGCGCTGCGCTAATTAAAAGATAATTCCCGCGGTCATGCAGTGCTGCCCCCAAAAAAAATTTTACGTCCTTTTTTTCAAAAAAATACGTTTTCTTTCGGTGGTATTTGATCACCTGTGCGTTTTTTATTTTTCGCGCTATAAACAAAAAAAGACCAAAATTTTTGGAAAAAAAATTTTTTTTTTTACTTTTCGGCTTTAAATTATTTATATTAATCTCAATGTTAGTTATACATTTAGGCCAAAATGTATTCATGCTCCATGTTTTTGGTCATATAATCCCTCCCCCACTAAATCCCAATATGTGCTATTATGATTGCTTTGTGTGAATCGTTATTGGTCTACTCTAAATCTGATGATTATAGGATACTGGTATTTACGCACATTTTTTTTTTGCTATACAGCGCATTATGCTCTGGTTTATCGGACAATTGCGGCGGGACATGCAATACGGTAAAATTAAATGATATTTTTGTCCTTTTTTTCACAACAAATAGAGCTTTTCCGTTGGTTGGTATTTTGATTCACCTGTGCACTTTTTATTTTTTGGCGCAATAAACAACGTTTGAGAAGAAATAATAAATTTTTTTGTTAAATGGTATTTTCTCCCATTTTGTCATAATAAAATATCCATAAAAAAACTACAATTTCGTCATACGTTCTTTAGGCCAAAACTGTTATTCTGCTCCATGTTATTGAGTCTAAATATGGGGAATGAATTATATAGATTGATATTTATTACTATATTTTGTTTTGAATTACTATGGGGGGAATGAATTACTATATGGGGGATGAATTTATATTTTTTGTGATGAATTATATTTATGGGGGATGATTACTATATGGGGGATGAATTAATCTATGGGGATGAACCCTCAAGTCAAAAAGTTTGCCCACCCCTGGTATAGATAAATTTACACAGATTTTACTTTCTGACTGCTTATCACATTTCTTGAGGTGTTAAAATACCAGGTGTCAGGGCTCCCAGGTGTGACCAGAGGTGTGTGTGACTGACACAGGGAAATGCAGACTTCAGATATGTGATAAACAATATAATTTATTAACACTAACAATACCAACATAAACGCAGTGCAATACTAAACATAATACAGTGCAAACAAACCAGACCAAACCACCCACAGATAACAGTACATACAAGCAAGCGTCGTCAGGCAGGCCGGGTCAATATCAATTGGGCAGGTAGGTACAGGGGGAGCAAGCGGAGATTGGTCGGGGTCACAGGCCAGGTTCAGCAGGGTAGCAAGCAGCGTAGTAGTACAGAGGGTCAGGCAGAGGGAATGGTCAGGGTCACAAGCCAGGGATCAGAACAGGTAGCAAGCAGCGTAGTACAGAGGGTCAGGCAGAGGGATGGTCAGACAAGCCAGGGATCAGAGCAGGGTCAGCAGAGAATCAGACAGGAACAGAGAGCAGGAACAGGATACAGGGCCCAAGAGAAAACACAACACCAAGGCAGAGTCTGCAAGTCTGGCCATCCTTAAATACACCAGTATCATCAGTTCCAGGTGTTAGCTGGCTGAAAGGTTGAGTCTCTGATTGCTGGGAGCACCCGCTGGCCAGCCCTGGTACTGCAGATCAAAAGGCAGGTGAGTCCCACCATTGCTGGCCAGTCCATTCCTGACAGTACCCCCCCCTCAAGGAGCGGCCTCAGGACGCTCTAAACAGTCCTAGCTGGGCAAAATGTTCCACCGCCCGGGTCTGGTAACTGGCGGGATATCAAAGACTGGCACACCGGGCAGGACTCCGGGCAGCGGCACACCGGGCTGGACTCCGGGCAGCGGCACATCGGGCTGGACTCCGGGCAGCGGCACATCGGGCTGGACTCCGGGCAGCGGCACATCGGGCTGGACTCCGGGCAGCGGCATATCGGGCTGGACTCCGGGCAGCGGCACATCGGGCTGGACTCCGGGCAGCGGCACATCGGGCTGGACTCCGGGCAGCGGCACATCGGGCAGAGGCACACCGGGCAGAGGCACATCGGGCAGAGGCACACCGGGGGCGGGCAGAGGCACACCGGGCAGAGGCACATCGGGCTGGACTCCGGGCAGAGGCACATCGGGCTGGACTCCGGGCAGAGGCACATCGGGCTGGACTCCGGGCAGAGGCACATCGGGCTGGACTCCGGGCAGAGGCACATCGGGCTGGACTCCGGGCAGAGGCACATCGGGCTGGACTCCGGCAGAGGCACATTGGGCAGGACTCCGGGCAGAGGCACATCGGATTACCAGGCGAAGCAGCAGGCACCGGGCCCCCGGGCGGAGCAGCAGGCACCGGGCCCCCGGGCGGAGCGGAGCAGCAGCACCGGGCCCCCAGGCGGGGCGACCGGCATCGGGCCCCCAGGCGGGGCGACGGCATCGGGCCCCCAGGTGGGGCGGCGGGCGCCGGACCCCCAGGCGGGGGGGCGACAGGCATCGGGCCCCCAGGCGGAGCGGCGGGCGCCGGACCCCCAGGCGGGGCGACAGGCATCGGGCCCCCAGGTGGAGAGGCGGGCGCCGGACCCCCAGGCAGGGGGCGACAGGCATCGTGCCCCCAGGCGGAGCGGCGGGCGCCGGACCCCCAGATGGAGCGACAGGTCTCGGGCCCTCAGGCGGAGCGGCGGGCGCCGGACCCCCAGGTGGAGCGACAGGTCTCGGGCCCTCAGGCGGAGCGGCGGGCGCCGGACCCCCAGGCGGAGCGACAGGTCTCGGGCCCTCAGGCGGAGCGGCGGACGCCGGACCCCCAGGCGGAGCAACAGGTCTCGGGCCCTCAGGCGGAGCGGCGGGCGCCGGACACCCAGGTGGAGCGACAGGTCTCGGGCCCTCAGGCGGAGCGACAGGTCTCGGGCCCTCAGGCGGAGCGACAGGTCTCGGGCCCTCAGGCGGAGCGACAGGTCTCGGGCCCCCAGGCGGGGCGGCGGGCGCGGACCCCCAGGCGGAGCGACAGGTCTCGGGCCCCCAGGCGAAGCGGCGGGCACCGAGTCACCAGGCACGACAGTGGGCTCCGAGTCAACTGGCATGACCGCTGGCACTGGGTCAGACATTGGATCGTCTGGCTGGGACAGCGGGCATCGGGTCACCAGGCATCAGGTCATTTGGCTCGACAGCGGGCACCGCGTCATCTGGCAAGGCAGTGGGCTCCGAGTCAAATGGTATGACCGCGGGCACTGGGTCAGACATTGGATCGTCTGACTGGACAGCGGGCATCGGGTCACCAGGCATCAAGTCATTTGGCTCGCCAGCGGGCACCGCGTCATCTGGCAAGGCAGTGGGCACCGAGTCACCAGGTACGACAGCGGGCTCTGAGTCAATTGGCACGATAGCGGGCACCGGATCAGGGACCGGATCATCTGGATCAACAGCGGGCATCGAGTCAACTGGCCTAATAGGATCGTCAGGCTGGATCAGTTCATCATGCTGGGTAGAGGCATCAGGCTGAATGCCGGCGTCCGGCTGAGTAGAGGCTTCAGGCCGAGTAGAGGCATCAGGCCGAGTAGAGGCATCAGGCCGAGTAGAGGCTTCAGGCCGAGTAGAGGCATCAGGCCGAGTAGAGGCATCAGGCCGAGTAGAGGCTTCAGGCCGAAGAGAGGCATCAGGCTGCGTACAGGCATCAGGCCGAAGAGAGGCATCAGGCTGCGTACAGGCATCAGGCTGAGTACAGGCATCAGGCCGAGTACAGGCATCAGGCCGAGTAGTAGGCTTCAGGCCGAGTAGAGGCTTCAGGCCGAGTAGAGGCTTCAGGCAGAAGAGAGGCATCAGGCTGCGTACAGGCATCAGGCTGAGTACAGGCATCAGGCTGAGTACAGGCATCAGGCTGAGTACAGGCATCAGGCTGAGTACAGGCATCAGGCTGAGTACAGGCTTCAGGCTGAACCACGGAAGGCAGGTTCACCGGTTTGAATACTGGCAGGATGGTATTGGTTGGAAAGAATTTTCGCTTTTTTCTGGTTTTAACTACTGGAGCACTGCAAGTAAATGCAGGTCTGCAAACAAATGGGGCAGCTGGAGACAGAGAAGAACTGGAGGATGGAACAGGAGAGGGAGCAGTTGCTACAGAGGGCTTTTTTACAGGGGTTAAAGGCAGGATAGGTGCAGCGAGTGGGAACAGGGTACTGACATGCGGTAGATAGCAGGGCAGGAGGAGCTGTTGGGAATGCAGGAATAGAGTTTTGAGGAAATAGGTTAGAAGCAGGACTGGGTTTTTGTAAGCTGACTGAGGCTGGGTGCAACAAGTCTGTCCATGTCTGCAGTATGGGTTGAACAAAGCTGAGCTTACACAAAGCCTGTCTGGTCAATGACTGCACTGCGTTTATACAATCTCTTAGTATCTGTGGTGAACATGTGGAATAACGTTCCAGAAAGTAACCCACATCATCCTCTAATAAACCACACCAGGGACTCTACCTGGTCTGCACTAAATGGTGGCAAAAATTCATCCCTGCATTCGGATTTTGGTACCAGATGAAACCAACTCAGCACAAACCTCAATCAATGGCTGCACCTCAGAGAACTCTGTGCCCTGATCTACTAGAACATGAGCGAGCCGTATACATTCTAGCAGTTCATCCCTGGGATACTCCTTCAGAGTTTGATAAGCATACTCCCTGTCATCAAACACTAGCAGATATAAATACGCAACCTCATCTAGATCCATCCTTCTCATCAACAAACCAAGATGGCTTCCCTGTGCAGCCACTTCTGGTCAGGATTGGCCTTGGTGTAATGTCAGGGCTCCCAGGTGTGACCAGAGGTGTGTGACTGACGCAGGGAAACGCAGGCTTCAGATATGTGATAAACAATATAATTTATTAACACTAACAATACAAACATAAACGCAGTGCAATACTAAACATAATACAGTGCAAACAAACCAACCAACCACCCACAGATAACAGTACATACAAGCAAGCGTCTTCAGGCAGGCCGGGTCAATATCAATTGGGCAGGTAGGTACAGGGGGAGCAAGCGGAGATTGGTCGGGGTCACAGGCCAGGTTCAGCAGGTAGCAAGCAGCGTAGTACAGAGGGTCAGGCAGAGGGATGGTCAGGGTCACAAGCCCAGAGCAGGGTCAGCAGAGAATCAGACAGGAACAGAGAGCAGGAACAGGATACAGGGCCCAAGAGAAACACAACACCAAGGCAGAGTCTGCAAGTCTGGCCATCCCTTAAATACACCAGTATCATCAGTTCCAGGTGTTAGCTGGCTGAAAGGTTGAGTCTCTGATTGCTGGGAGCACCCGCTGGCCAGCCCTGGTACTGCAGATCAAAAGGCAGGTGAGTCCCACCATTGCTGGCCAGTCCATTCCTGACAGTAGGACAGTACAAACACCCCCAAATGATCCCTTTTTGGAAAGTAGACACCCTAAGCTATCTGCAGAGAGGCATATTGAGTCCATGGAAGATTTTTTTTTTCCCACAAGTTTCTGGAAAATGACAAAAACATTTTTTTTTTTTTTTTTTTACACAAAGTTGCCATTTAAATGATTTATGTCTCACACAAGCCATGGGTATATGTGGAATTACACCCCAAAATACATTCTGCTACTTCTACCGAGCATGGGGATACCACATGTGTGAGACTTTTTGGGAGCCTAGCCACATACAAAAGCCTGAAATCCAATGACCACTTTGAAAGCCTGAAGGTGCGTAACTTCCTCATTACACTTCCTCACTACCTATATCACAGTTTCGGAAACCCTGAAATGTCAGGATAGCAGTAAACTCCCCAAAATGATCCCTTTTTGGAAAGTAGACACCCCAAGGAGTTTAAAAAGAGGCAGGGTGAGTATTTTGCAGATCAAATTTTTTCTCACAAGGTTTTGAAATATAAAAAAAAATGTTTTTTTTTCTCCATTTTCCAAAAACATTTGGCAACAAACGAGATCTGAAAAATACTCACCATGCTTCTTATCAAATTCCTTGGAGTGTCTACTTTCCAAAAAGGGGTCATTTGGGGGGGGGGGGGGGGGGGGGGGGGTGCTATCCTGGCATTTCAGGGCCTCTGAAACTGTGATAGGTAGTTAGGAAGTGTAATGAGGAAATAAAGAAATTCAAAAGCCTGAAGGTGAATATTGAATTTTGGGGGCCTGTACGTGGCTGGACTGCCAAAATGTCTCTCACATGTGGTACCCCCATACTCGGGAGAAGTAGCAGAATGTATTTTGGGGTGTAATTCCACATATACCCATGGCATGTGTGAGGAATAAATCATTTAAGTGACAATTTTGTGTAAAAAAAAAAAAATGTTTTTTGGGCCGGTATGTAAACAGCGGTTGCACCATGCATGTGAGGTATCGCCGTTAACGTCAGATCAAGGGAAGTAATTCTAACAGTAGACCTCCTCTGTAAATCTAAAATGGTAGTTTGTAAAGGCTTTTAAAACGTTGCCTATGCATATTAAAAACGTATGCAGTTTGTCATCATTGCACGGGGCAGACACAGTTTTAAATCATGTCATGTTTGGTATCTATTTACTCGGCATACCATCATCTTTTACATCTTACCAAATAATTGGCCAATATATTGTGTTTTTGTGCATTAAAAGTAAAAAAAGTGTATTTTTGTTTTAAAAATTGCATTTGAAAAACCGCTGCGCGAGTACTATGTGACATAAAAAATTGCAGCACCCACCATTTTATTCACTAGGGTGTTTGCTTTAAAAAAATATATGTTTGGGGTTTAAATTAATTTCCTAGCAAAAAAAATATTGATTTTTTTCATGTGAACAAAAAGTGTCAGAAAAGGCTTGGTGTTCAGGTGGTTAGAAGAGTGAATGATGTGTGGCATAAACTTCTAATGCTGGGCATAAAATGCCCCCACCCCCCTAAATGACCCCTTTTTGGAAAGTAGACACCCCAAACTATTTGCTGAGAGGCACGTTGAATCAATAGAAGAATTAATTTTTTTACCACAAGTTTTTGGAAAATGACAAACAAAACTTTTTTTCTTTAAACAGAAACAATTGAGTACTGATGTGATACTTTTTTTATTTGCACTAACATACAATTTTGAGGACAAGCTTTCGGGGTATGTCCCCTTCTTCAAGGTCCAGGCAGTACTATTTCACAAAGTTTTAGCAGAATGTTAAAAGAGATGTTGAAAAAAAAAAAAAAAAGAAAAAGAAACACACACAAACAAATGTACACAGAAATAGTTATAAAACTAGGATTAGACTAGAGATAGGACGACACAGCAAAAGCAAAGTATCTGCCACCCCTCTCTGCCAATCCTTCCACTGGCCTCCACTCAGTGTCCTCCATCCCTCTCTGCCAATCCCTCCACTGGCTTCCACTCAGTGTCCTCCATCCCTCTCTGCCAATCCCTCCACTGGCTTCCACTCAGTGTCCTCCACCCCTCTCTGCCAATCCCTCCACTGGCTTCCACTCAGTGTCCTCCATCCCTCTCTGCCAATCCCTCCACTGGCCTCCACTCAGTGTCCTCCACCCCTCTGCCAATCCCTCCACTGACCTCCAATCAGTGTCCTCCATCCCTCTCTGCCAATCCCTCCACTGGCCTCCACTCAGTGTCCTCCATCCCTCTCTGCCAATCCCTCCACTGGCTTCCCATTGCCCAACGGATATAATTCAAAACATTAACAATAACAATAAAGCCATTTATAACTCTGCCCCAAATTACATCACCGATCTTGTCTCTAAATATCACCCAAACCGTACTCTCCGCTCCTCGCAAGACCTCCTACTCTCTAGCACCCTTGTCTCCTCCTCCCATGCTCATCTCCAGGACTTCTCAAGAGCTTCCCCATCCTCTGGAACTCTCTACCCCAATTTATCAGACTATCGTCTACTCTGCTCACTTTTAGGCGATCTCTGAAAACCTATCTCTTCAGGGAAGCCTATCCTGCCCTCAGCTAATAATGGAATCTTCTACTCTTCCAACCAGTCCATCCCCCACAGTTACTACCTTTTGTACCACAAGC